AAAAAAAATAAAAGAACTGAAATAAAGATAAATGAGAAAAACAATACCAGTAGTAATATGGGTTTTAATATTACTTATTGAAAATTGTGTTGCAACAGTTATTACTGTTGTTAGTTCTATTGAAAATCAACCTAGAAAATTTAAAGGAAAGATATTTGCTATGATAGAAAATGATGAGGATATGAATATTGCTATTGAACATAAAGACAGAATTGACCAAGTCATTGGAAAAGGATTTAGTGCTGAGTCATTTCCATCAGGAAGTCCTAAAATTGAAGGGGAGTGGGTATATAAAAAGAATTTTACACATAATATTGGACATATTGTGTTTGGGAATTTTGCAAGTATTGTTAATTGGACATTTGAAATGACAGAAGCAGTTATTGAAACAATAAACAAATATGGATTAGATGGTGTGTGTATGGAAGATTTAGAAAATGTATTTTTTATCACTGGAAGATCAACTCGTGATGTTAGACTGATATTAAGAAGATTAGGAATTGAATTACATAAAATTCAGAAACAAGTATTTGCTATTATTCCTGTTTGTTCAATAAATATATTAAGAATATGAAAGTTATAAAAAGATTAATAATATCTAGCCAAATTCTCAAGCAATTGGAAGTAGTGAAATAGCTTCATTAAAGAATTTAGTTGATGAATTTATTCTTGATGACATGCAATATTATGATAGGAATATGATTGGTTCACATTGCACTTCTCCTGTTTATTACATTAAAGGATTAGTTGAAAAATATACATCAAATTATGTTGATTTAACAAAAAAGACATCAATCACCATTGACCTTGCAGGAACAATGCTTTGTCCAAATCAACCACGAAGTATGGTTAATTCTACTTATTTCTATAATAACTTACTTCAAGTTAAGAAATCTGAATGGATAGATAAATGTCAAGAACAAAAATTTATCATGGAAAATGGATGTGAAATTATTTATCCAACTGTTGAATTCATTCAAAAAAGAATAGACCTTGCAACAGAACTTGGTGTAGATATCACCTTATATAACATTAATGCTGCTCATCCAAATACTTTCAATCTTTTCTAAATTGAATTATTTTTTGTTATATATTACATTTTTATTCATAGAAAAAACAAATTTATGTTATGAAAAGTAAAATTAAAATGTTTTATTATTGAAAAACTTCAAGTTATTTATCTTGTAGACATTCTATTTCATCTCTAAAATGAATAATTTCAATAAAATATCCAGAGATCTTTATATTTTGATCTAATAATTGATCTTTTTAATTAATTATTGGTTAATCTTTAAAATTATAATAGATCCATTCAAATTATTGGTTATAATAATGAGATGCACCTAAAAATAAACTATAAAAAATGAACAAAAAATCCAGTACTAATCAAAAGGAAAATGTCTATTATTTCAAATGACAGACTCAGTGATGTTGTTTTAAGAGAAAGAAAGATAATATCAAGAAATGTTGAAAGTGGAATTACTAATACTGTTCTATGTATTTTGATTAAACAACTTGGAGCTGTAGTTTCATTCAGAAGGACTAAAAAGACTAAAAATACAATCAAGATGATGGTTCCAGAGGATCTTACAATTATGGGAACAATGATGTATCAAAATGATCTTATTGAAATGAGTGATTTACTTATTAGAGAAATGGTAAATGAGCAACCAATCAATCGTGAAAGAATGAGTGACAAACAATATAATAGAAGCAAAGAATCATGGATTAACAATGGACTATTATATCTTTTAAAAAAGTGTGGATATAACTTTATTATTAGACAAACCAAAAAAGCTAAATTAACTGAACGATTTGTAAAGGTGTCATCAATCAGTTTTCCAAGTGGAGAAATTATTAATGAGAAGAGACTTATTGAGATTGGAATGAAGTTTGAACAGTTTATTTCTAATTCTTTTAAAAGAGAACAAGTATTGAAAGTTGATTCTTCACAATTATCAGCACTTCATATTCCAGAGATAAAAGACATATTTGTTGATCAACAACATCTCTCTTATGGTTGTTTCAATAAACAACAATCAACAACTAGAAGTATTGTTGTTGAGTATCAGCCATTATTTTATACCCAAAACATTGGAATGCCAGTTGTTGTTTATCCACTGAGATATGATAATTGTTATTACTAATGTCCAATTGAATTGTATTTACTTATTTGATCTTTTTCCATTTTGTTTATTTTATTTTTATTAATAACAAGATTGAATCATTTCTTCATCATTTAAAGTTATATGTTTAACTCAAAAGCATAAAATGAAACAAACAGTTGTAGTTATACCAACAAACCATACATCAATTCGTGTTCATTCAGGATTTCACAATGAGTATATTCTGAACCAACTCAAAAATGAATATCAAGTCATTGACTCTCCAATTCTAAGTCATGACATTCTCTTACCAAATAATATTTATATTGATATTGTTAATGCTGATTCTATTATTTCTGATGCTGATTATACAACATTGGTTCAAAGAAGAAAATATCTTAAAGACACTGACATTGTTATTTTCTTCTTGAAAACATCTTTCAATTCTTCTCTCATTCAACGTCTTCAATTTGACTTATCTCCATCTTCTTCATTTTTGTTTATTCCAATAGAAGATGATGACATTTTGTTAATGAATTGCATTAATTATGTTATTAAATCAAATGTTGAATCTTTTCATAGTGATGAACCTAACTTTGTTAATGAGATAAAATCATTTGCATCAGAATTATCATCGTTGCTTAATGTTGATGTTTATTCAATGATGAAAACAAATCATTTGTCTATTTCTGATTTGTTCAATTCATCAGTATTATTATCAAAAGGTATTAATGAAGATGTTATTCAATCCCTTGCCCAATTATTTTCAACTGACCGTTTCTTATATTTTTGTTTTGATTAATTATTTAAAAGAAATTCAGATAATCAAAAATTGAATAAAAATAAACAAAATACAGTTAATTAAGATGATACAATGATAATTGAAGGTTGTGAATAATATCAATACTTGTACGTTTTGACTCACAAATAAATGAAGTTTCATTTTTTTCAATTTCATTTACTTGTATCATTTTAATTTCTTCTAATAATCTCAAACTTCGTTTGAGTTCATTTTCTAAAAGCTCAAGACTATTACTCATTTCATCTTTTATTTTATTCTTTTCAATTATCATTTTATTCTCTTCTTCATCTTCTTTCAATTTATAGAATCCTCTATTCTTACATACTTCTCTTCCTGACTCAACTAGTGCTGAATGATTTAATGCATCTAATATTGATTTTCTCCATTTTCCATTTTTGAAGATTTTCAAATTTTGAAATAATTGCAAATGGTTATTGATAAATGGGAGGATGTCTTTGACTAATGAGTAATATTCAATTTCTGGTTTTAGTACTTTAAGTGACTTTAATATCAATAAAACTAGTCGTGTTGTTTTCATTTTGGGGTTTTTTGTTTGAAAGAATGTTCCTTTCATACAGATAGGACATTGACAACAACAACGAATAACTCCAGCCTCTTGAATATTCATACTTTCCATTGGTGTATGTATTTCTTAATCAAGTTCTTTTTATATCTCCATATTTCGTCTTTCTCGAAAATTCAATCCTGCATAAATTCATCAAGTCTCTTATCTTTCCTTTTTTCTTTTTACAAAAACTTAGTAAATTTCGCTTTCCCCTAATCTTCCCTATATATTCCTTCTACTTCACCTATTTTATTTTCAAATTTTTATGTGATTTTCTATAAATAATTTTTGCTTTAAATAGAAATAGATTAATCTATATATATATTCTGATTTTGATTGGCTCTTTTACTGGTTTTCAATTAACTTCAAAGGCGAACTTAAAACTAATGATTCTTGTATTTATCATTTCTAGATCAATATAATAACTCTTTTTATGATTTTTACTTTTATAAGAAATTTCTGATCTAATATTTCCCATAATGCATTTTATTTTTGTGTTTTAGAAGCGATAAAAAGACCCATGTTACTAACCATTTAATGAAGAAACAAACGTAGCTTTCTTGTCTTAAATTTAATCCCTCCAATTGTCTAGTAGAAACATAATGTAATTTTCAATAAATTACATAATTTTAAGTATTAATTGTTATAGTAATAGTTAATGTTCTATTCTTCGATTGAAAATACATGGCAAATACTCTCTTATTTGTTATTTAAATGAAATAATAGTTAACTTATACGCTTTAAACACTCTTGTTTAATTACTTTCAATAAATTGACTTCATTTAAAATATAATTTCTTTTAATTAATCTTAATACTATTTTGTGGATAGTTTCTTTATGATATTATAAACTATTAATATAAATTCATT